AGCACTGAAGATGGGAAATGTAATTCACATAGCGTCGCCCCTATGGTTACATACCCCCACTGATCCGAATTAGCGGGCTCCGTTCAAGTCAGAAGGCGCATAGAGAACAAGGAATTTCTGATTGTCCCTCCCCCCCAAGGAAGATAACTGAAGTAAAACTTCCTACTTCTATAGCGTTTCATGTTGGGAACCTCTGGCTTACCGGAGTAGCACTAAACCGAAACAAAACTCAAACAAGAGACATAGTAGAAAACGAGGCAAGAAGACGCAGGAGCGTGAGTTGAAATCAACGGCTCGTTGTTTTTCTAAAGTAGGAAAAGCCGCACGAGGAGAATTTTCTTGGAAAAGACACATGGATCAAAATCATACCCGCTGCCAGCAGTGCCCGGCCACTCTTCTTCGCCGCCTGCAGTGCACCTCCCCACAGCCTAGCGCATAGCGCGACTGGTGAAAGGTGCGTGTCAAGGGCGGGATACCCCTAATCAGCCACCAAGTCCTGTCCAAAGCAGGGAGTGTCTGACCCCACCCAAAAGACCGAGACCGACCACTTCCTTTCCACACTGCTGCTGAGCCCGGCTTGTCACCCTACCGCAGCTCAGTGAATGTCAGGCTACCTGGGCAGTGGCCTCCAGGGGCAGGTATATTACCCACATGCTGTCTGCCTGCTACTTGATGGAAACATGCTGATTTTTAAAAAGAGCGTCAGCTCTATTCTACCAGTGGTGGTGCAGAAAGAAAACACAACGCAGGGCTTTGGGGGGTGGAGGTTAGGGGGAGGAGGCTACCTAGTGCTCAGGTTTAAAAGTCTCAGAGGGGTAGCCCTGTTAATCTGTAACGTATGTCTACACAGCAAAGTCATTTTGGAATAAGGGCTGTTATTCGGAAATAATTATGCGAGAGTCTCTGTTCTAAGGCTTCATCTAGACTGCAGGCTTCTTTCAGAAGAAGTTTTTCCAGAAGAGAGCTTCAGGAAAAAAACATCCACCCTGCCAAAGTGCACCAAAAAAGTAATCTGCTTTTTCAACAGATAGCATCCACACTGAATGGACGCTATCTCGCATATAAACTGTGATTACTATGGACAGAGTGGCCACCAGGGCTGTGTCTAGACTGCAGGGTGTTTTGGAAAAAAGTAGCCTTTTTTCGAAAAAACTTCACCTGTGTCTAGACTACAACCATGTTCTTTCGAAATTAAATCGAAAGAATGCGGCTTTTCTTTCGACGGCGGTACTCCTCATTTCACGAGGAATAACGCCTTTTTTCGAAAGTGCTCTTTCGAAAAAAGGCACTATGTAATGCAAACTGTGCTTTTTTGAAAGAGAGCATCCAGACTGCCTGGGTGCTCTCTTTTGAAAAAGCAGCTTGCTTTTTCAAAAGTACTGATTGTAGTCTAGATGCTCTTTTTCGAAAGAAGCTTTTTTTGAAAGTATCTTTCGAAAAAGCCTCTTTTGAAAGAGGCTTGCAGTCTAGACGTAGCCCAGGGCACCTGTGCTTTTTCCTCTTTCCTCTTCTTTCAAAAGAACTCCCTCTTCCCTATCCACATATGCCTTTTTCCAAAAGAGGTCTTTTGGAAAAAGGCTTCTTGGTCATAGAAAGAGGTTTACCAATGTTGGGAAAAACCCTCTGTTCTTTCAATTTTTTTTGAAAGTATGTGATTGCATTGAGGATGTAAGTGAAGGGTTGTTTTTTTTTTTTTTGAAAAACTGGCTGTTCCCCCCCCCCCCCCCCCCAAAAAAAACCAAACAAACCCTCTGTAGTGTAGACATAGCCTAAGTTATTCCTCCTGGGGCTCTAAATCCAGATAGCATGTGTACATTAGGGAAACCTGCCTCAGATTAATATTAAGGCTTCCCTACAGTGTAAATGTGCTATTTTGAAATAAACTGTTTTGGAATAACTATTCTGGAATAGTTTATTCCGAAATAACTGTGCAGTGTAGAAACTTTTAAAAAAGGTCCTTCAGCACCTTAAAGGCTAACATATATATATATATATGACAGTATCATGAGCTTCCGTGGGCACAACCCACTTCACATATTCAGGTTGTCTTTTCCACAGGCCAGATTTTAAATGGCAAAAGAGAAGTGTGTTTGAAAAGATATGTGTGTATGCAAAATGTTACCAGCATTGCAACTCATGGGGTGCACCGACTTGAAAAAGTTCTCCCTGCTCAGCAAAGGCCCGGTTCTGATTTCATGGAAGTCAGGGTGAGTTCAGCCACTGATATCAGTGGGGGAGGGCTCTCTTCTCTTTAATACTTTGGTCCAGTGTGGTCCAGTACAGGGCAGAGGCTTTTTAAAGAGAGTGTATTGCTTTCCTTCTGTCCCCGAAGGAAGACATGTAGCGCCGAGGGCCATGGTAAAGCAAAACAAAAGAGTTGTAACGCAGGGAGCTCGGATGGGAGTTCTACACCATTTATGTTGTAAGATTTGCTTAGCTCATTTTGTACTAGTCTGAAAGAAAATACTAATTAAGAAACCGATCTTACACGCCTGGATCAAGCTAAAGTGCCTTTGGATATGACTGGGTCCAAATTACTGATTACTCACACTGAAATCCTCTGTAAGGTTACTAACCCTTACGGTGGGCCTGAAATATTTGTTACAGTCGATTAATCTATCAATCAATGAATTGGACATTTATGATTATTTTATTTTATTTGGAGTTAATGTGACTAAAAGGATGATCCGAATAAATGACACGAATAGCTCTCGCTCACTAAGCAACAGGGCACTAGTGTGTATACTATTATTGCATTATAAATGACACTGCGATTGTTTCAACAGTGACGAGATGGTACGTAATTGTGGTAGGACACAAGAAATATTAATGGATAATTCCACCAGCAACATCTTTCTAATTATTGCATAGCCCCTGTGAATCTCTTCACCTTTTACAGCATATAGAAATTAACCATATTTAGCTCTTTAGCTATACTTCTCTGAATTTTTCTTAGTGTCCAGATACACATGGGGAGAGAGAGCACTTTTAAGTTTAATAATATTTAACATTTTTATTTGCCTATATTTAAATAATGTCTCTTACAAAAGTCTGTGCTTAGGTCATCGAGACGATAATAAAACCCAGCCGCTGTTCTTTGCTTGATTCACCTGATCAACATCAACTTATTTTACTGGAGTTTAGTCAGTCCAGGTTAGTTGAAATTAATGTAGGCATGATTCTGCCATTCTTGTCGGAGTGATAACTTCAGTCGGAGTTTGTCTGAGTCAGGAAGATAGCAAGATGGGACTCTGATCCCAGCTCAGTGCGGTTCAGGCAGGTGAGTACACCTGATTCTGATATGCAGTCCAATCAAATAATATTTTGGAACTGGTGTAGAAAGACCGGGGCCAATAGCACGTCTAAACTGAACTAACCAATCCCATCTATATATATAAGCAACCAACAAAGAAAACCAAATGACAACGCAGCTGTTCCACGCCGTTAAAATGATAGTGGACCAAATCCTGATCGCTTTATTCCCACATATATTCTGTTCCTTGGGGTTTGTTGGAGCGTGGATAATAATAATAAAAAAAAACAAGAAAATATTGTAGATAGTGGAACGTACACGAGAGTTCACGTGTGGTCACTTGCAAACACACCATTCATGAAATACTTATCTAAACGGCATATCAAACTCAAACCATTTTTGTACGTGTGTTTGCATAGAGCTACAGAGATAAAATCTAAGAGCTAAAAGGTGGTGGCCATTTAGGAAATGTGTTGTAAAGATTGTCACTCACTCCATCTTTTGTTGGAGGACAGACACGCCAGAGCTCAGGGTGGATGATGTCAGGTATAACTCTGACATCTGCGTTTTTCTCTGCGTTTGTATATTTCTTAGATAAAAATAACATGATGTGCTCAGATCTTAGAATATTTCATTTCTTACCAGAACTTCCTTTTTGTAGGAAAAATAAAGCAAAAGGATTTACTAATTTGTGAAGCGTGTTCTATTTATGGAAGGCACTACTCCATTGTTTAAATACCCACTTCAAACACTTTACAGAGCAAACTATCTAGGGAATCATTTATCGAGGTATTCAGGAAATTTTAAGACCTATTGTATGAGCATACTACATCAAAAGGGCTCTTTTGAAACTGTTCAACGGGATAAATATATGCGCACACAGACACGCACACACACATACTACAGTGTATATACACACTACTCTCTCTCTAGTTTGTTCTCTTCTGGTCTGCCCTGTAAAACATTTATTTAATCTTTGTATACCAACACTATGTAAAAGCTACTTTATAAATAACCATCGTCTGAAAAGTAAATATTGAGTTAGAGGAGCAGCCTTTATTTTTATCAGCTTTATTTCCAAAATGGGGAAGAGGAGAATGATATGGATGAGGATCTCTTCAGATTAAGCAATGAACTTGCCTGCAGGTGCATTTGTCAGAGGTTGGAAATGGCTGTGCATCGTTTAGAAACAACCCAGCCCCTTGCCTGTCTGTGTCTGGTACAGAGCAGTGCGTATTGCAACTTGCCATGGCCAGTTTCGCGTCGGAATGGGCCCCTCCAGTCATGAATAAATCCTACCCGGGGAGATGAAAAGGCCTTTCTTACGATTTCGGCGCAATTTAGATAAAGTAAAGCTGGGCCGGAAAGCCGCTGCAACACACGCAGGGACAGACTCGTGCTTTTGTCGCACACGGTCTGTCACACGCTAGTAAGCGACTATCCTTCCCAGCTGTGGCAAACGCAGTTCTGCCTAGGGACAAAGCCTGGCTTGGAAAGGGCTGCGGTCCCCTGCGATCCAGGCTCCCTGGGAGTCCTCCCAGCAGCGACTGCTCTGAACTGGGCGCGAGTGTGACCCGCGGCAGCCTGCCTGCTCCGCTCCTGCCTTCTTCCCTCTTGGCCGGAGCAAGGGGGAAGGCAGGGAGGGGAGTTTAAAGAGCTCCGCGCTCCCTCCTCCCCACCCTATCGCCAGGATCCGAGAGCCCTTGACGTAGGATCTCTGCGGCCAGCAAATTAAGGCGGAGGAGCGTGCGCGGCTGATCGCAGTGGCCACCCTTCTGCCCTCTGAGCCACTCGGGCTCCCACCCGCAGCCCGAGCCAACGCGCTTCTCCCGCACGCAGCGAGCCTGCTAGCGCAGCGCCAGGGAGACGATGGGGACAGTTTAACCTAATCCTGTCCGGGGCCTTAGATCCCACCCTGCAGGCATCGTGAGATCCTAATTATCCTCCATCCACACACAGTTGTGTGCCCCCGCAGGGTCTCCTTGCCTCCCCCGGGCCCGCAAGCTCGCCTAAATTCGCTTCCCAGTCAGAGTAGCTGGCTCTGTGCTCTCCTGCTTGGCGCTGCTGCTTAGCTTTGGTAGGACTTTTGTTGTTGTTGTGCTGGAAGCTGGGGATCCATTTAGGACCTTTGCTGGCTTGGTTTGTGGAGGATTTACTCTGTGACCATGGAGTACACAGCCTCCCCCAAACCGCAGCTCTCCTCCAGAGCCAACGCCTTCTCCATCGCGGCTCTCATGTCAAGTGGCAGCTCGAAAGAAAAGGAAAGTGCGGAGAGCACCATCAAACCTCTGGGTAAGTTGTGTGCTCGGGCTGTTCCCTTTCAGCCGCAGGACTGGGTCCCGTGTCCTTCCTGCACAGACAGATCGCCGGATCCAACACAGAAAGTAAGGAGCTAGAGAGGAGAAAAGGCAAAAATATCTGTTGGGAGAGAGGGGCGTTGAGTATCATTTCAGTCAGATTTCAGTTAGGGAGCAATCAGATGCAAAGCAATGAAAATAAAGGAAAATGTTTAAATTGCACATTGTTGTTGTGCGAAAGAAGCCAGGCTGAGTCTGGTCCGTGTTCCTGATTTCCCTTTTGTGTTATTTTTAGTCTGGTCAAAATAAATACTAAGGCATTGCAACATAGTCTATCTATTTTCCTATATTTTACATTGGTTCATTATGGCACTGCTTACTTTTCTAAGGTGAGGCTTTCCTTTAGCATAAGGCGAAAAACCCGATACAATTAATAGAGACGCCGCTGAAAACTGAAGTTTGGAAGAGGTAATAGCTGCTGATAATAGTTACAAATAAAAGTAGCCATCCTGGGATCCAGTTTTAGCAAATTATAAAGCTAGATTGAATTATATACACATGCATGCATTTAATGGGATAACACGAGGAGTTTAAATACATATTTAACACCAGGAAGATAAATTTAAATTGCTGTTTAATTGTGAGATTTTCTAGTTTCCAAAGACTGCTGACCAAATCAAAGAACAACGTTTGTTTCTTCTGTTTTAAGTCCTAATAACTATTTTCCTTACAGAAGGTAAAACCCTTATCACAAAGCCATCTTCTTTTTATTACCGCCGTCATTTTCAGTTGAAGTAGTTTAGAACATTATCCAGTAACCATTTTCTAAATTCCTCAACTTTAGTTACTTTTACTTATTTAGTTACTTTTAGTTATTTAACAACCGTTGCCATTTATAGAAAACATGACATTGTCATTGTTATTGCAGAAAGCAGATAAGTTTCTCCCCATTAATGAGAACAATGCACACATTATGTTACATTTTTAGTTTAAGTTACCTGTACTTTAAAAAGTACAACAAGCAAAACCCGAAAACAACGATTACAATATTGTTTGCAGGTTAGCAAGCGCTAATAAAAATTATTTACACAGTTCTGAAGAGTTTTTTATTCTTTGATTAATCTCTGCGCCTTGTGAGACAGAAAAATCAGATTTCTTATTTTTAGTACATAATCAGTTTGAATGGTAAGTCATTATGAGTTTTAGTAAATGAGTTCACTTTAAGTTATTTAAGCTCTATAGCGAATCTGATTGAAAGCGACCGAGTTGAACATCCAGTTTTATCACTCTATCCAGAAACTCGAAGCAAATTGCAGCAGCATCAACAACAAAAAAGATTTTTTCCTAAATTGTAGGGTATAGATTAGTAACATACAGCCAAAAATTGGAGGGATTCAGCATTGCCACGTCTAACAAAGTTATAAGTTGGCTCATCTGCAAATCTTTAGTGAATTTTAAATATTATTTTCGTTTTCTAATTTTTGGTTTATGATGTGATGTAGGCCGGATACGTTATAAAATGTATGCTTGACACAGAATCCCGTATTTATCTTCCCGTTTAACTTTAATGTATTCACTGCTTTTGCCATGTCTACTGGAAACACGTCTTCAAGTCATGTTCTACTTCTTTTGGTGTGCCAAAACATTCAAAAACCATCTAGTACGCCAAATATCCTAACTCTGTATTTGTACTTTTAAGTTTTGGGACAGAAATCGCTGTCTTGTGATTTTAAGGGCGTATTTGTTCAGTTGAGTCTGGAGATTCAAATAGTATGTCTATCATATTGCTGTATTTTTAGTAACAAGATCATATAAAATTAAACCAATACAGTGGAGTTCGTTAAATTTCTGACATAACATGGAAGCGATTATTTACTAATGTCTTTGAATTGGTTACGCTTCAGATGAAAATTACGTTAGTTTATAAAGCTTGTAGAGGTTTTAGTAGGAAAATAAATCTTAAGTGTTCGTACAGAAAATTATCCTAGAATAAACATTAGTTTCTGTATTACCTAAAATATTATCTCAAAATTCAGGGATGGGAAAAATATCCAAACGACGGATACAGATTATTTTTTAGAATTCCTGTAACTATACGTTCTAAACATCGTTTGTTTAACAATCATGTTTTCTCGACAATTTACAGACTGGTTTCAGAATGTGTTAGCTGTATTTTTCCTATTTCTTTTAGTGTAAGCGCAGACGTTTAAATTATTTAAGGTGAAGTGTTTGGTCAATCTTGTTAGGGTATCAGAAAAGCTGTAATTATAGCGGGGAGGGAGAGGTTAGCATGAATCTCGGTAAAGACTTCAAAATTCTCTCTTACTATGTTGCCTTCTATTTTCTATTTATATCCACGCCTCCCACAAAACACTTCCTACTCACAAAACATCTCCTGCATCACAGTCAAGTAGTTTCTTTTTAAGGGTTATGATAATAGAAACAATTAGAAAACTCTCCCGCATTCAATCCCATTGATTTGCGCAGTCTGCCCTTATCAAAACTGGAGCCGAATGCTCCTGTTTTAATGAGAATTAGTCATCTTGTGGTCAGTGGCAAAGTGACCTTTCCACTGAAATCCCCTATTAGAAGGAGATATTGGACAATCAGCTTCCCTGTGTGTCTGAAGGGCGCTCCGCGCCAGGCTCTCAGGTCACACTAGGGTAGAAAACCAGCGCAAATACGCAGTCAAGTCCCTTCGCTTGTCGATTATTTTCTTTTCAAGTTTTTAACTTATTCCGGTTCTGTTCATTCCTTCCAAAGACCCAGGCACCAAGACAGGATCCTTGGCTGGATGGACCCTTTGTCTGACCCCGTACGGCCACCCTTACGTGCTTCTGAACACTTAGTTATGGGAATGCTTTCTGGGCTCGGGAAGGTGGGACCTCACTGTATATAAATGATCCACATTCTTGAGATTCAGATGTGGGAAAGCCGGGTTTTCTCTCTTCCCATCCTTAGTCCGCTCGAGGGAGAAATTTCTCTCACTCTTGGAGCTATAACTTCCCCAGAGTCCTGTTTTTGCCAATTCTGTCATTTGGGGATGCGGGAATGCCCACGATGCTGAACGGGCTGCAGTTGGAAATACTGCCTCAGAAAGCATTTCCTGGCCAGTGCCTGCCTGGATAATATTGCCAGGGACCAAATATTGCTCCCCCTCCCCCGGGAAGCCAGCGTACCGGAGTCAGTATCCGGATGCCCAGTTTGGGACCCTCGACAATAGTAGTCCCTTTCAGAGGGACTCTGAGAATCAGGCCCACTCTCAAGTCACACACCCCAAAATCTTTAATGACCTTTAAAAGTCTTTAAAAACACCGGGTAGTCCTGTGACACCTTCCCCAGTCCTTGTTTGTAAAGTTACGGACTAACACGGCTACTGAGGCTTTGAAAAGCCTCCCCTTCCCCCCGCCCCCACAGTAGTTTAGCTTTAGACAGGAGCCAGCTGAACTCCTGGTTCCCGGCGGAGGCTCCGAATCTAGACGCCTGAGCTGTCAAAGCCCTGCTCGCTTATCCGCCCGATCGCGCTTCCTCTCCGCTTCCAGAGCAGTTCGTGGAGAAATCCTCCTGCGCCCAGCCCCTGACCGACTTGGCCAGCCTGGATCCGCACGGCGAGTTCAGCCCCAGCCCTTCTGCCCTCTGCACCGAGCCCCTCATCCCCACCACCCCCATCATCCCGAGTGAGGAAATGGCCAAGATCTCCTGCAGCCTGGAGACCAAGGAGCTGTGGGACAAGTTCCACGAGCTGGGCACCGAGATGATCATTACCAAGTCTGGCAGGTAAGGCGGGGGAGCAGCGCGCGGGGGTGGGGAGGCTGGGTCAGGGGAGAAAACCCGTCCCGTTTGCTACGCTGCCCCGGCCTGTTAGCAGGGCCTTGGAAAGAAGTCCCCAGGGCGGTTAAATGCAACGTGCGGCCAGCAGGAGTGGGAGGGACGCATCCGGCAAAACGGGGCGGAGGCCCAGGCTAGGCGAGGCTGGCTCAGTGCGTGGCAAGGTGTCCGGGCTCCCCGGGATGGGAGCAGGCCATGTGCGCGGAAAGGCCTTGGGACCCGCTCGGGCTCCCATTCAGCGCGAGCGTCAGGCCTTAAGCACGGGAGGGGGCACCGCCTTTGCCAAACACAATCTTTTTCTTGTCCTGGCCTGGGACTGGGCTAGGAAGAGAGGCCCCCCCCAGCCCGCTGGACGGATCTCGAACCCCTGGCCTCATACGCAGGGTCACCCTCCCAAATGGCTCCATCCAGTGCTAAAATACTATTTTACATGTTTTTAGAAGGACAAGTTTGATCCCGAATTCCTTCCTAAAGAAACTTAAAAAAAATCCCATTTATTGTACTTCTTTGCCCTGGGATTACGATAGAGTCCCTTAGCGCCCCCTGCAGGCCGGTCGCCAACACTATCCCTCTGATGCTGAGAGAGAAAGGTTCAGCTGATTCTGTGTCATTAGCTGGGAGGAGGAAACTCCTGGTAATCCACTGACTGATCAACAGTAGGCTCTGGTGTTACCAGATTGTGGTGAGGGTGCTTCAA